CGCTCCCCTCCTGGACGCCCCCGATCCGAAAACCCCGTCGGCTATCGGGCGGCAGGGCTTCCCGCGGCGCCGGTCGCCGCAGCAGGGCGCGAACCCCGCGGCCGCGGGGGGGCATCGCGCCGCGGGGCTGCCGTGCCACGCGGGGGGCGCTGCAGGGCCGTCGCGCCGCGCGGCCGCCCGCGCGGGGGGCCTGTGCTGGGAGCGGCGGGGTGGGGTGCGTGGCTGCAGGCCTCCCGAAGGGGCCCTGTGCAGTTCGGTGGCAGATCATTTGGGGGCCTCGTTGTGCTGTGAGAGTGGCCTTTCGCGGGAGTGACCTTTACGGTGCGGGCCCGGCAGCAGCGGCTTGCGCGTCCAGGTTTGGCCACCCCGCGTCCCCCGTTTAGCCGCGTACCAAAGGTCATAATTGCCTAGGGTCACACTTGCGCGTAGCCGATGTTGTGTGTCCTCGAAATGCCGTCCTTCCAGTGCTTTGGGGTGCGCTAGCGTCTGGCAATCGACGAGGAAGTGCCGATTTTGCGTCGATATGGCGTGGTGAACGTCGACTAGTGTTGGTTTAGCGTCGATCAGCGTCAATGCGCAAGAACCAGCAAGATGGCATGGAAGGCTCCCGTGAGTTGCCACCGAAGAGTAGACGTGGTCGGAGGATCGCGCCGCATCGTCGATGCATTGGCGATGCGGCTCGACGTGGAGCCCGATATTCTCCACGCTAGCAGCGCCGATGCATCGCCGACGTCGCCGATGCTTCGGTGATGCATCGGCGATGATGCGCAATCCTCGCACCCCATCTACTCGGATCCCATGTGGGAGGCCTCCAGGAGCTTGGCTACGCGAGTGACCGTTCGCCAGAGTGACTTTTGGTGCGGGCCAACCAGGAGTCCCCCCAGCACTGCCTCGCGCGCTCAGACTTGCCCCCCTCCGCGAGCCCCCAGAGCCGCGCACCAAGAGGCCACTCGCCCCGGGACGCTCCTGCGTGTAGCCGACGGGAGCGGGCCGGGCCGTCCACGGCGGAAGCAGGGGGGGTGGTCGGACCAGGCCTGGGCAGGGACCGACAATCACGGCATTTCTATAGGCCTACCATGGAACAATCTGAGAAACCAAATCAGTTCCAAGAGGCAAAGCAATGTGCTTGGAGCATGAGCCCGATGTGTTCACATAAGACGGTCCCGGCCAGAAATGTTTTATGAATATTTCGTGCGGACCACAGAAGATGCTTCGAACATTACCTGGTGGGCCTGTAGGCATGCCAGGACGCTTCGCCACTGCTCGACAGGGGCGAGCATCGCACGCACTCGCCGGGGCTGGCCTCGCCGGAGGCGCGGGCGGACGGGCCCCCCGGAGGCGCGCGGTGCTCCTCGTTTCCTGCTGGGCCAGGCGGGCCCTCTCCCCCCTGCTGCTGCGCCCGAAGGTCCAGAGCGCCGCGGGGCGGCCTGGGGGAGGGCCGGTGGAGCCACGCGCGTCCGTGGCCCAAGATGCGATGATCCTCAGGACGCGTGTCGGCCCAATGTGCCCTTCGTGCAGCGCGTGCCCCCCCCGCGCCCTCGCTCCGCGGCCGCCCTCTGTCCTGCCCCCCCCTGGCGTGCTGCCGGACAGCGAGTATGCTTCGCCCCAGCAGCTGGAGAGCGGGAGCGGATTGCCTCTGCCGCGCCACGACGGACAACTGTGTTGGCCCAGTGTGTGTTGAACCCCGTTCAGCTCCGCCGATAGCACGCAGCCTGTGCTGGCGCCCTCACTTACACCGCCTGTGTCCGCCGTGGGCTGAGAGGCTCCGGTGGACGGTCACACGTCGGCGCTGACACACGTTTCGAGCGACATCGAAGCGTGTCCCCAGCCTTCCGCGCCATGTTGGACCCCCTGTGTCACTGCTGGACGAGGCGCAGACCCAAGCAACAGTGGATTTCATGTGTTTCCAATGCTGTGCCACAAACACTGGTTGTGAGGAGATTCCTCACCTTACCCTCGCACCAAGATATCATTGGCCAGCTTGATCCAGCAAGGACTCCAGCTGAACATGTATTAGTAATACAGTGAATCCGAAGCATCTGCTTCCTGAAAGGCAAATCGTTTATAAGCTGATTACCTGGAATGTGGGCTATAATGTCTACACTCGGGACGCGTTAAGTTGTGCCCAACTGGCTACCATCTCAACGACGATACTATCATGCTTTTCCTGACATGGAGTACCAGAGCCCCTACGGCGAGTCACCGCCGCCCCCTGGAGTGATTGTGTCGTGAAACGCCGAACAAAAGTGTAGCAGCGCTAGTGGACTGCATGTTCCCCCAGCTGTTGGGGGAACCACTGGGGGAACAGTGGGGACTGGGCGTCTTGGTGCAGTCTTGGGCATTTGTCTGACCCCTGGCGCCGTCTTGGGGCTCTCTTGGGCCGTCTTAGGGCGCCCTTAGGCATTCTGGTACCGACGGATGACATGTTGAGGGGAGAGGTCACCAGAAGATGTTGCTGGTGTTCATCGCCCAAGTGTTGTGAATAACGTGATCGACAAAGCAACGACACAATATTTTCACATACACTGAAATGAAGGACACGCCCTTGTAGAGTCTAGTTGCGGGTCATTCAACATATGTGATCTGACCCGTAATCAATCATCAACGCAATCGTCTTCAATCCCTTCTCGGTTTCATCCCAACCACTTGCGCATTACAGGAATAGTGTAAAGACAAGGACTCACCATGGCGTATGTAGACAGCAATCCTGCATCATCCGCGCTGGCTCAAAGACGAGGCGGGTGATTCAGGATTACAACATGCCATGGGAGTAGCGGGAGTGGTGCCAGTTTTTGTTCCCTCTGACATGTTGTTCCATATCACTCCCGAGTGGGGCTGAACACTAATTGTCCGCCCTCTTTACTTGCACACGCTCGTTTGTTCAGGTGCTGTTCCACATAAACAGGGCAGCCGTTTTCTGGACGAGACGTGCTATCTGTTGTGAACCACCCCTAGCTCGCTCGTGGGCAGGGAAGGCTCGTCTGGCTCCGCTGCCGAGGAGCGAGCCGATCTTGGATGTGCGAGGTCGCGACGCGAACTCGCGACGCAGTGGCCGTCGGATCAGAAAGGATGGGGGGGGGGATGGGCCTGTTTTCCACCTCCACCACCATAAGTTGGAGGGGGGAAGGAGGAGGAGGAGGAGGAGGAGGACGAGGCGGAGGAGGAGGAGGAGAAGCCCATCAGGGGGGGGCGTCGGCTCCGGCACCGCAACCCACCAAGGGCGGCGGGAGCTCGGCTCCCCGTTGGCCCAGGGGGCTCGGCGCCAGGGTCGTTCCCGCTAGTCAGGGGGCCCAGGGGGCTCGGCGTCCTGTGACGACGGACGGGGCTAGGACGAGGGTTCATTCATTACAGAGCGTTCCGGAACGCTTTCGGAGCGGTCTTGGAACGCTCCAAGAAGGCCGCGACGCCCGCGACATCCTCCAGAGCTGCCGGATCTCAGAGATTCAGGCTCTCGATGTGTAATCCTCCCGAATTTACTCAAGGTGGTACGGGGCAGGATTCTCAGAAGGCTCGGAAGGCCTCGGGCCTTCTGGGAAGGTTCATAAGCCATCCCTGGAGACAGAAAGCAGAACTCAGAAGGCCGGAGGGCTTCTGCGAAGTTTTTATCCTTTCCCCCCCCGTGTGCCGCCGATCGTCGGTCAGATTTTATGGAGTTTTTTTCTTTGGGGAGGGGGTCATGCAATGCGGCGCAGGAGGGCGTCGAGCCGACGCTCGCCGAACGGGCCGCACGGGCCCTGCCGCGCCGCCCGCTGCATGGGTGTCTCCCCAAGCCACTCCAGCGCCGTGGCTGGGAAAGGCAGTGATGAGAAGTTTTTTGTTGGGGAAAGGTTGGTCACTTGTGAGAGGGAGGAAATGGGAAGTGGGAACGGGGGGGAGGGTGGTGGTGGTGGTGAGAATGATGATGATAATAATGGTGATGAAGTTGCGTATGAAGCTGCTGTTGCTGACTATGATGACGATGATGCTGCTGATGATGATGATGCTGATAGTGATGATGATGCTGCTGATGATGATGATGGTGACGATGCTGTCTATGTTGATGATAAGGATGATAACAATGATGGCGATGATGATGACGCTGGTGATGGTGATGGTGACTATGATGATGACGAAGACCTCGACGATTAGGATGATGATGGTGTTGCGACTGGTGGTGCAGGAAGGATGATGATGATGTTGCTGATGATGACGAATATAAGTATGATGACGTTGATACTGATTGTTATGATGATAGGGTTGACTGCGATGATACTGGTGATGATGATGATGATGCTGATGATGATGATGATTACGACGATTTTGACGAAGTGTATGGATAATATGACGACGGCGACGATGCTGATGATGGTGAAGACGATGACGATTACATCGACGATCAGGACGGTGATGGTGCTGCTGCTGATGATGATGGTATGAAGATTGATGCTGATTGTGATGATGCAGACGCTGCTGAGGATGATGACTATGATCATGATGCTACTGGTTGTGATGATGAGGAGGAGGATGATGGTGGTGGGGGTTATGATGATGAGGAGGAGGATGAGGAAGTGATGATGACGATATGTATGATGAGCGTGCTGACGACGATGACGACTATGGTGATGTTGAGGCGGATGTTGCTATTGCTGTTGTTGATGAGGATGATACTTATGATGTTTGGCGTACTTGCGCTGAGTTTGATGATCATAGCCATTATGATATTGAGGGTGCTGATGGTTGTCACGACGATGCAAATAAGGTTGACGATTCCGATCATAACGACGACAACGATGACGACGACGGCGACGGTGATGCCGACGATATTGGTGGTGGTGATCGTGATGGTGATAGTGATTGTGCTGGAGGTTGGCATGACGATGATTACGTCGCCGACGATGATGATGGTGATGTTGATGATGACGGTGATGATGATGTTGGTGTTGGTGATGGTAATGGTTTGTGGTTCTGTGCTGTTGTTGCCAGTGCCTCGGCCCAGCCCGACGGAACACCCGACGGGGCAGGCGATGCCCGACGCGGAGTCGGTCGTCTGCGCCGTCTGCCTGGACGAGGCGCCGCTCCCGGCCGCCTGCCGCCCTTGCTGCCCGCCGCCGCCGCCGTCCTGGGGACGCCGCCGAGGAGAGGTCCAGGCACCGACGGGGATAGGAGCGCATCAGCACACAGACACAAACAATGACACACACACACACACACACACACTTTTTTGCGTCGGCGCTGGGCAGAGTGACTGCGCTGGCGGATGGAGCGAAACGGGGCAACGTTACGCGAATTCCGCCACCATGCAGGAGGGTGGGGAGGAAGGACGATTTGGCGAAAGCACACACACACACTTTCGGAGGTCTGCGCAGACTTCTTTGATCTGCGCTGGGCCCCCTGGGGGCGCCTCTGGCCTCGGGGTCCAGCGCCGATCCAAGACATCCGCGCGGACCTCCGAACGTTTGTGTTTCTGCCAGTCTTGATTCTTCCTCCTCCGAGGGGGGCCAGACTGACGAGGCACAGGGAGGTCGGGTCGGTGCCAGGCAGTCCTCGGGGGCCCCTCGGCGGGGAGAGACTGCCAGGGCAGGTGGGGCGAGGAGCGAGGGGGACTGCGGAGGAGGAGGAGGATGCTTCAGCTTCTCCTCTTCCGCCTCCTCCTCCCCCTCAGGGCGGGCCGGGCGTTTCGCCTGAGGCTTCCTCATCACTTATGACCCTGAAGCTTACAATTTACAACATATTCGCAGATGGAGGGCGGGTAGTTTTCAAAATGTGGCTCTCGCCTCAGCGCCGCGCACATTCGTTTTCAACATTTGCAAGAGTTTCACGGATTGAGGGTGTGTAGTTTTCAATTTGCCGCTCTCGCCTTAGCGCCGCGCACATTCGTTTTTTAATGAAAGAGTTTCATGGATTGAGGGCGAGTCGTTTTCAAAACGTGGCTCTCGCATTAGCGCCGCGAACATTCGTTTTCAAAATTTGCCACACCGCCAGACCGCCAGACCACAGACCACCATCAGAAAATAAGTCAGGACCCCTAAGCCCAAGCATTGTTTTTGGAATATGTATCGATCAATGCTCCTCCTCTGGACGCCGTACAGGTTTAGGGTTCAGCTGAGTGTGACACACCGTCCCTTGCTGCGCGCGTCCAGCGCAGTTCTGTGCGATCGCATCCGATTATGCCCCCCCAGAAAAGAATTGCGTCAGAGGAGTCTTAGAAAGCCGAGGATGGTCCGAGTAGTGATCCCAGGCGGCCTAGGAAGGCCCCAAAAGGCTGGCGGAATGTGCGGGTCGCGGGGAGGATCCCAGGAGGGTGGGGTGGCAAGCGTTCTGAACACGGGGTGCGAACGAGGAGTACGTAGGCTGCAGTGCTAGAGATGGACATGTCCCGCAGAACTGTGCGACTGGTGTCTCAGACGCCATTCCCCCGGACTGGTGGCGGGCAGTTTCGCGCATTCCGCCATCCTTTGTGATATCATCGTTCCCAGTTGGAAGCTGCCGAGTAGTGGTAGCTTCACGTATCAGTCGTGTGAAGTTCGGGTGGGGGAGAAGCAGTCGGCGGGGAGATTGCGGGCAACACTCAACAGAGAACGTCCCCACCCAAGTTTCGCCATGAAGCCACTCGAAGGTAATTTCATGGAATGCATATCTGCTCATGTTACGTATTATGAGCTTCTTCTTATGTCGTCGGAGTATGTTGATTCGGGATGTTTTGCTGTCTCTTGGGGACTTCTGGTACGTTCTGGGGGCCCCTCAGGGGCTTCTTGCTGCCTCTTTTGGGGTGGCAGTCTTGCACCAATTTCAACCACCTTGGAGCGATCTTGGATCCGCTTGATACTTTTTTAGTCCATCTTAGGGCCTGCCGTCCAGTGATTCTCGCTTTGGGGCTGCTGTATGGCCATCTTTGGGCTTTCTTGTAGCACCCTTGGGACGGTCCTGGGTCGCCATTGGGGGTCTTCTGGGCCCTCTCAGAGTCCTCCTGAACTCCACTTGGAGCTATCTTCGGCTGGATTGGATCCATCTTGATGTATCGGAAGACCATGGAAAGAACAGGTGTGAAGCCAACAGGATTGACATCGGTTTTCCGGAATGGAGAATTTGGGAGGCCTCTTGGGGGCCCTGGGGGCCTCTGGGGGGCTGCCTCGGACCATCTTGGGGCTCTTGGGCCTGCTTCGGAGTCATTCCGAGGGCCTGCCGACCATTCATTGTCACTTTTAGGCCGCTCTTTGGCCATCTTGGGATTCCCGTGGAGTCCTAAAGGGGCGCCCCTAGGATTTCGTCGGACCCTTCTGGGGTCTCTGCCTAGCTTCCTTGGGCGATCCTGTAGTCATCTTGAGGCTTCTCAAGCCTATCGGAAGTGAGAAGGCGAGAAGGCCAAAATCATCGATCGACGAGCCGAAATCCTTCACATCAGTAATTTTGGGTCTCGGAGCCCACAGGGCGGTTTTTCATGTTTTCCATTCGACGTTCCATGAAGCCCGATGTCATTCCGAGGCCGCGCGTCGAACGTTTTCGATGGCGCGTCGCGTTATGCGATGTCACGTGCGTTGGGGTCGTCAAAGGCTTGCGTGCTTGTTGCGGATCGGTTGATGTGGGCTGGGGTTTCTCAGGATTGTACATTTGCTTTGCGCTGGGGCGGTTTCGACCCCCATCCTTGGCTGATCCACCCCGCGGGTAACGTCGCAGGAAGAGTTCGATCATTTCGTTCGTAGTGCCAGCGATGCTGTCGCGGACATTGACCGCGCCACGGGGGGGGGTCGTCCAGAAATTTCCTACCATATTGCAGTGTTGGTTCTTCGTTTTGAAGAGACACCGCCCCGCGTCATTCCTTCCGGCCCCCTCCCTCGTCCTCCCTCTTCGCGTATCTGCCCCTGCTCTCCGCGTGTCTCCGTCGTCATCGTCCATCGTCATCGTCGCCATCACCATCATCATCAGCATCATCAGCATTCTCGCCGTCTCCATCATCAATACCACCACCATCCTCATCAACATCATCAAAACACCCCCCTTGTTCCCCCGCGTCTCTGCTTCGCCACATCCCCCGCAAGTCTCGTGGCCTTGTGAGGTGCTCCACCGAAGGCCCCATCGGCAGGGTCCTTAGTGCGCCGCCCAGCCCATGTCGGCACGCCCCTCAGACGCTTCGTGTCCCCATGAGGAGCTCATCGGAGGTCCCGGCGGCAAGGTCCACATGCCGTCGCCCAGGCCACATTGATGACACCCTCAAACATTTCGTGCCCCTATAGGCAGCTCCACCAAAAAAAGGTCCCAGCGGCAGGTTTCCCAGGCCGCCGCCCAGCATATTTCGGCATACGTTTCACACGCTTCGTGGCCCCACGGGGAGCTACACCGACGGCCCCACAGGCAGGGCCCACAGGCCGCCGCCCAGCCCATTCCGTCATACGCTCACAAGCTTCGTGGCCCCATTGGGGAGCACCCCCGATGGCCCAAGCGACAGGGTCCACATGCCGTCGCCCAGCCCATGTCGTCCACGACTGGCGCCCAGCACGGCTCCAAGAGCGCCCCAAGAGGCGCCGAGTAAGTTGCACCCTCATGCAAATAGTTGTTGTCACTTGTGGGGGTCCTCTTGGGGCCCTCTTGGAGCATTCTTGGGGCCCTCTGGGAGCGTTCTTGGGGCCTTCCCGGGGCCCCAGTGGGCCCTCGGAGGGCCCCAAGAACGTTCCCCGAGAGCCCCAAGAGGGACCCCCCAAAGTGGTACAAAGAATTCGCGCGAACGCGCAATCTGTTGTAGGCCTTTCGGGGCCCTCTGGGAGCTCTCTTGGGGCCCCCATTGGTGGCGCCTTGGGGCCTTGGGATGGCTCCAAGAGGCTTCGGGATTGCCCCAGACCGCCACAAGACAGCTCCGAGACGGCCGTCGAGCACCACGGGTGAAAGCAAGTGAGGCTAGGGAACAGGGCCTCTGGTAAGCCGCCACTGCGCCCCCTGGACTACCCAGACAGCGAGGGGACCTGAAACGCCCTGGGGCTCCAGGGGCCCCAGATTAGTGAAGTGAAGGTTTTTGCCATGCAAGCACCCCGAAATTCTTCACTTCACTAAACCGGACCCAGGACGAACTCGCTACGCTCCAGTCCCGCGGGAGATCCAAGACTCCCGCCGCCGCCCGGGGACGTTGCTGCATTGCGGTGCTCTGGTCACTGTTAATGGCTTCCGCGGGCTGCAGCGGCTCACTTCCATGACTACCCCGACTCACGAATCCAGTGGTTGGTCTGGCTCTATGGGTTGGTTTCGTTGTGTCGGTTGATTTTATGCTTGGTTGGCGGTCGGTGGATTTCGCGTTGTTCATTGGTGTCGTGAAGTGATTTGTCGTTTGGTTGGTCAGTGCCGTTTTGTTGATTCGTGCCGTTTTGTTGGTTGGTGTCGTTTCGTTGGTTGGTGTCGTTTTGTTGCTTGGTGTCGTTTTGTTGCTTGGTGTCCTTTTGTTGGCCGGTGTCGATTTGTTGGTTTGTTGGTTGGTGTCGGTTTGTTGGTTGGTGTCGTTTTGTTGCTTGGCGTCGTCCTGGCGGCGTGGCCGATAATCGGCGGCCTGCAATGGCGCCAGGATTTGTTTCGGGCCAGCCTTGATCGCCCTCATCATTCTCATATTCGTCAGCGTCAGCACTCGTCGCCCCCATCCGCGCACACATGCGGCCCTGGTACGGCTCTCACGCGGCCCTGCGAAGGCCTTCACTGTGCTCCCCAAAGCTTTCTGAGGGGCCCCCCAGAGGCCCCAAGAGGGCACTGGAAATTGTCGCTTCCAACTCCGCCAGGCGGAGGTCAACAAGGGTCTCACTGGTGCACTTCCAGGAATCGTCGTTCGATCCTCTTGGGGCCCTCCTGGGGCCTTCTGGAGCCGTCTTGGAAGCTCCGAGCGGCTCCATGAAGGCGCCGGGCGATATCGCTTCCAATTCCGCCAGGTGGAGTTAGACCAGGGGCTCACTGAGGCCCCTTTTTGCGCCCTCCTCTGCCTTTGAAAAAGCCCCGATGGGGTTCTTCAGTGCCGTCTTAGGGCCCCTAAGAGGCCTCCAGTAGGGTATTGAAGTTATCGCTTCCAACTCCGCCACGCGGAGTTGAACCCAGGGCGGCTCTCTATGGCCCTTTCGGGGCCTTCTTAGAGCTTTTCTGAGGCCCTAAGTGGGCCCTGGGAGGTGTCATTTTCACGGGCGTTGAAAGTGACACCGCGGAGGGCCCTCTTGGGCCCTTCTTGGGGCCTCTCTTGGGTCCCTCTGGGAGCCCTCTTGGTGCCGCCCTGGGGCCTTCTCGGGGCCTTCTTGGAGCCTTTCTGGTGCTCTTTAAGTGGGCCCTGGGAGGTGTCACTTTCACGGGCGCTGAAAGTGACACATCGAAGGGCCCGCTTTCCCTCGTAGCGCTGCCCGTGGCCGGGGCATTGTGCAGCGCATCCCTCGTCGAACGTATTTTGTCGGACGCGTGGTCGAATTCCGCCAGTTCGGTCGAGATGGTGGTCAAGCGGTTCGGTTGCAATGTAGCCATGCGGATCTGAGCTTACCATTTCTTGCCATTTTGGCGGGGATCGCAGGAGCGTTTGTGTTGTGATCAACTGTGTTCGATATATCCAGCGGCAGCGTTTCATCCCCATATATTATTTGGAAAAAAGTCAGCAGGGGCCAAATTGCTGATGTGAAGCAACATAGGTCTCGTAATCGAACCAGTTCCTGGCTGTTGGATACATCATATGAGTTTGGCCTCCTGAGGACATCCTTGGATGGGGTTCGTGGCAGCTTGGAGCCGTCTTGCGGCGGTTCCTGGGACCGTAGGCCCGTGGGAAGCATGTTGGAGGCTGGTTACCTGGCGGTCTGGAAGGACCCAGTGACCGCGTGGGGTGCGTCCTGGAGGTCTCGCTGGTAGTGATAGCCGCCGCGCAGCTTCTCAGGCCGCGGCCAGGAGCACCACCCCGCCGGGGAGACGGTCCCGGCACTCGTCTGCTGTTTGTTGGGCAGCTTCCCTCCCGGGACCCCCCGGGGTCACCCCACATGCGCGATGTGGTGAGATGTTCGCAGGCTTTGAAAAGGAGGAACAACGAATGCATCTTGCTGGAGATTCTAGCGCACCTTAGCCCCTTGAGATACCAGGAGTCTGGTTGAGGAGATCCCTTTTCCTGCCACTCTTTTACTTTGCTTTGCCCTCCTTTCCGTTGTCCTCTTCCTTCGGCCCCATGCTGTTCCTCCTCCCATCCCTCTCCATATCTTGCCGCACTCCCACGTGCCCCCCCCTTCTCCCCCCCCCCCCCTCCTCTCCCCCTCTGCTCCCCTGCGTTGCAGCCGCCCCGCCCGATTAGGCGGGCGGCGGAGTTCGAGGCTGGATCGCCGCATCGGCTTCCGTCACTCCCTCACCCTTCCATCGTCTTCCTAATGCCTTCCTCGATCGCCTTCCTCCCCTGCCTCGTCTTCCCATCGTCCGCCTCTCGTCTTCCTCTCTTCCACCGTCTTCCTCTCGTGCCCCTTTCCATCGATGGCTCCCCCCTCCCATCGTCTCCCTCTCCCTCCTCCTCCCCGCCCGCCCGCCGCGGGCCGACGAGGTCAAGCCCACCGAGCGGCAGTCCCGCGCCGGGCCGCGGACAGGCTGCGTGCACGCCGCGCCCTCGGCCCGCGGAGCAGCGCGCGCGGCGGGCGGCGTCTCCGGCGCCCTCCCCGCCCTCCTCGGGGGCAACGACGGGGGGGGGACGGGAGATCGGCTCTCGGGGCCTCGCGGCTCGCGGCTTCCGGACCTTCCAGCCCATTCTGGAAGTGGGCAGGCCCCCCCATCCTCCTCCACCCCCTCCTCCTCCTCCTCCTCCGCCTCCTCCTCCTCCTCCTCCTCTTTCTCCTCCTCCTCCTCCTCCTCCTCCTCCTCCTCCTCTTGCCTCCTCCCCCTCATCATCATCATCATCATCATCATCATCATCATCATCATCATCATCATCATCATCATCATCATCATCATCAGCAGCAGCAGCAGCAGCAGCAGCAGCAGCAGCATCAGCATCATCATCATCATCATCATCATCAGCATCATCATCAGCAGCAGCAATCGTCACCATCAGCAGCAGCAGCAATCATCAGCAGCAGCAATCATCAGCATCATCATCGTCATTATCATCGTCATCCTCATCATCAGCATCATCATGATCATCACCTTCATCCTCATCATCATCATCAACATCAGCATCGTCGTCATCATCGTCGCCAGCATCATAATCCTCATCCTCATCCCCATCCTGCTCCTCATCCTCCTCCTCACCACCATCATCCTCATCCTCATCCTCCTCCTCCTCCTCCTCCTCCTCATCATCATCAGCAGCATCATCAGCATCATCAGCATCAGCATCATCAGCAGCAGCAGCAATCGTCACCATCAGCAGCAGCAGCAGTAATCATCAGCAGCAGCAGCAATCAGCAGCAGCAGCAATCATCAGCATCATCATCGTCATTATCATCGTCATCCTCATCATCATCATCATCATCATCATCATCATCATCATCATCATCATCATCATCATCATCGTCGTCAATTCGTCCCCCTCGGATAAGAACGCACATCAATCACGTAAACATTCCGAGGTCCGCGTGGATGTCTTGGGTCTCTGCCCTCACTCGCCCATGCCGCCCATTCGCTCGTCAGTTCTCGACGGTTTTCCAGCCTCGGGTTTCCCTCCCGCGGCCGCGCTTCGCCGAGGGCGTTCCAGAGATGCGCAGATCGTCCCAAACTGCCGCCGGAGAGCCGAGCTACGACCCGCAAGTCAGGGGTCAACGTCAGGAGGGGATGCGTAGGCTCCAAGGGCGGAGGCATCGACCCATCCATCGCCCATTCATCACCGATAGACTTGGGCCTGGCAGCCCCCCCCCCGCCCAGGAGCGTGCAGAATCGCTGTCGGGGGAGCATGGGCACCGTGAGGTCCGCGCGGATGTCTTGGATTTTCGCTGGGCCTCCAGGGCCGCCCTTCTGTTTTTCTCTCCTCGGAGGATTGGCAGGGGGGACCCCCACCTCCTCTCGCCGGGTCTCGGCGGTTGTCGAGCCTCGGGATGCTCTCCAGCAGCCGTGGCTCGCCAGGAGCGTTCAGGGGGTTCCCGAATCGCCCCGAAGAACCGCAGGAAACCCAAGTCATGACTGAAAGCCGCACTTCCTCGCATTTTTCAACAAATCCCGACGGGAGTTCTTGGGCAGTTTTCGGCCTCCTGGGGCCCTCACCAGGCCCTCGGCCGTCCCAAGAACGACCCAGGATGAAGAACCGGTCACAGGGAAGGGTTCCTGACTTTTTGGGCGCCATGCTGTGTGCAAATCACGACGTCGGATGTTTGGGTCCATTTCGCTTTTCTCTCCTTCCCCTCCTTCTTCTTTTCAGCCGCTCTGCCTCCGCGTCCTGCCGCACTTGCTCCTGCAGGTTCATATTATCCTCCTCTGATCCTTCTTCTCTGTCGCGTCCTCGCTCACTCCTACCCCCAGAGGTCTGATCCTGCCATGTCCTCCTCCACGAACGTTAACTCCCTCTCCTATGCGTGGTGATGCTGATTAGCCCTGGGCCAAAGACTGCGAGTGTGAGCTAGGGAGCCAGGGTGCCTGGTTCAGGTCAGCAAGGCCCGTGGGCCATGGCTCCTTCGTGTTGTTGTCGATTGTGTTTCTGGGATGGCAAGGTCAGGTCGAGCAGGGCAAGGAGGAGGACGTTTGGGAGAACTAATGATGCTGATGTTGATGAGGATGATAATGATGGTGATGATGACGATCATGGTGGTGGCTTTGGTGATGGTGATGATGACGATCACGGTGGTGCCAATGATGATGGCGACGACGATGACGATACCGTGAAGCATGAGGATGGTGATACTGCTGATGATGCAGATTATGATGATGATATTGATGGTGATGTTGATGATGCTGCTGATGATGATTATGATGATGATGTTGATGATCATGATGATGGTTGTAGTGGTGGTGATGATGGTGGTGATAAAGAGGATGAGGAAGAGGAGGAGGAGGAGGACGAGGACTAGGACGATGATGCTGATGCTAATGAAATGATGATGCTGATCATGATGATGATGATTATATGGATGGTTATGATGCTGAGAGGAGGGGGAGAAGGAGCAGGAGGAGAAGGAGGATGGCGATGGAGATGACGATGACGATGACGACGACGTCGATGATGATGATGATGATGAGGGTGCTGAAGGTGTTGGTGACTATGACATGATGATGAACATGCTCTTGGTTTTGATGCTGCTGATGACGATGCTGACAATGATGATGCTGCTGATGCTGATACTGTTGATGATGATGTTAATGCTGATAGTGGCGGTGATGGTGAGGGTGATGTTGTTGCTGATGATGCTGCTGATGCTGATGCTGACGATGACGACGATGATGATGTTGATGGTGATGATTTTGGCACGTGGTGCTGATGCAGGTGATGCTGGTGACGGCGATGCTGTTGATTATGATGAGGAGCAGGGCTGCGGAAGGCGAACAGTTTGTAAAGAGGAGGAACACGTGCATGATGTGCACGGGGGACCACGGTTCAGTTGTTGTTGAGGACGACGATGAAGAGGCGTGGTAGACGGAAGCTCTTCAGGTGGTGGACGTTGGGGAGTGGCATGATTCCGACTAGGAGTGGGAGGAGGAGGAGGAGGTCGTGGGGGGATGTGGGAGGAGGGATGCGGTATGAGGACTGGTTTTTGGGTAGACAGATAGTTCGAGTGATGTTGTTGCTCGCGGCTGCCTTTCTGTAGCCGCAAGGTCGCAGACATTTTCTGCGAAGCCATGTGTAGGCAGATCTCACGTGGTATCAGGTGATGCCTCGCAGGAGGCGGGCGAGGAAAGTGCCAGGGGTAGTGGGGGAGGTGGCAGATCAGACAGGGGCTCGAGGGCGTAGCGGGGAGGGGCCGTGGAAGGTTACAAATGTCGTCATTGGGGTGGTGGGCACTGCTTCGCTGGGAGGGACCATGAGGTGTTCCACTGGGACTGCATCTGGCAGTGGCTCAATATCAAGGCGGCACCTGCTGCTGTGAGGAGCTGCTCTTGACTTGCGCTCCGTTGCTTCCTCCTTCCTCTCCTCCCCATCTCCATCCTTCTTCCCTCCTCCCCTCGTCATTCCTCCCCCCTCTTCCCTCCTCCTCGCCCTCCTCGAGCTCGAGCTGCGGACTGTGCCACGCTGAATGGTCGAAGCCCTCGTGCGGCCCTCTCTTCATCATCCTCTCCCCATCAGCGCGGGAGCTTGATGAGGGGCAGGGGAGAGGGTGCGCGTGTAAATTTTGGAAGCGCATCGGCCAAGAGGGGGTGCGTCCCCTGAGGAGAGGGAGACCGACGGACGGACGACATGAGGAGGAGCAACAGGAGGACAAAAGAAGAAAGGGAGATAGGAGAGGAGGGGAAGTGAGATAGGGGCGGAGCCAGAGGGATCAGCAGTCACGACGGAGGAGGGCGGGACGAGGGAGGGAGAGGGGCACCAACGACGCCGACACCCACTTAGGGAACCCGCAGGAGGGGGGGTTCTCTAAGGCGGCTTCGGCGGCGTCATTGGCCCTGATTTACTTTCGCTCGTGCTCGTGCTGCCCCTCCCGGCAGTCTCTGTCCGCATCCTTCTCGTCTCCTCGCCCCCCCCATGAACTTATCAAAGCCCACGAAGTCTTTGATGGCAATGAATACAACACTGATTATGACAGAGAATCTCATTCTCACAGCGCGCTCTGTCTGACTCAAGGGCCCTGCCGCAATCCAGGGCCGAAACAGTTGCGGTCTCGTGCTATAACAAAAACACGCACGAGCATGCATACACACTAGATGTACAGCGTATATCTCACACCCGTGAAAGAGTAAAAAGAACATGAAACAGAAAGAAGCCTTACTTCAATATGAAATCTAGCAAATCCAGATAAACACTCCTAAGGTTGCATTAACAATGAAACATAATGAAAACAACATTAAAATGCGTGAGAAAGTGTAACTAACTCCACGCTGAAAGAAGCAATGCCGATATATCGCACTGCATGTAAATAGATCTCCAACCGAAATCCACAATCGTAAACTCTCGGGCGGCGGGGGAGAGCGGAGGAGGGATGGGGGAGGGCGGATGAGGGCGGAGGATAATAATCACGCGGCATAGAGGCGCGCCGTGTCTCTCGTTTCCCACAAGTCCGTGGCGGGGCAAGCCTGCGCAGGCCCTCGACAAAATTTAGAACGTAAGCACTCTCGAAGTGCGTATGGAACGGATCAGCAGAAAACCTCGGCGATGTTGCACGGCTGCCAGCCGAGGAGGGCGGAGGAGGGAGAGGGAAGAATAGGGCGGAAGAGGGAGGGGGACAGTGGAGGTGGTGGCGGGTGTGTCACGCAGGAAGATTTTGAGGAATTACCGGTGGTCGTGTTCACGCGGCGGCGCTGGAATGACGATTCGAAACATCGGCCCCCCGAGCAGGATTTGTGTTTTGAATTCTTCCCCGCCGCCCTCTCAGAGCGCGCGCCTGGACGGTCGACGGGCCAGACGGAGCCGAAGGAAAGCGGAAGCAGAGTATTCCGACATTATGTTGTGAACCGTCCCCCCGCATTCTTTCTAATTACTCGGCATTTTGCATTGTATTATTTTGGCCCGCTGGTTATGGATCAATCCCCGCCTCTCAGAAGCAACGATAGGGGGGGGATAGGCATAGGGGGGGATGCATCGACCCCCAATCGCCCATTGATCGCCGATAGGGGCCCGATAGCCCCAACCTGCCCAGGAAGGTGCGGAGTCACTATCGGGGGCTATCGCCGATTTATCGGCGATGCATCGCCGATTCCGGGTCGATGCATCCATCCCCCCCTATGCCAGTCCCCCCCCCTATCGCAACCACGCCAGGCGTTCCGCAGCCGCTGCGCCGCGCCCTCCCAGCGCGGCGCGATCCCTCTGGGGGCCCCTCTGGACAGGCGGTGTGCCCCGTGTGCAACGCGCCGCTGCTCGACCACGGGATCTTCCAGGCGCGCGCGCGGCCCTCCGAGGCAGGGGTCTGTCCATCGCTGCTGCCCCGGGGATGGGTCCTCGCGGGCCTCGGCAGGCGGTGGGTATGGATACGTCGTCGGGGCCCCTGCCTCGCTAGTTTCTTCATTCCTTGTTAGGTTCTCTGCCTCGCCTCGGGGCAGCGATCTCTACGCGACAACCTATCACCTACAATTCCTTGTTTTTAGAATTCCTTGTTTTTCAACCTCCCTGTCTAGTCGGGGCCCCTGGAGCCGAAATGCATCCATGTCCACTGCCCGCTGGGGCTCCCAGGCGGCGGATGTGGATATGTCCCTGCCTCGCACGCCGTCCCCTGTCGCCCGTCCGCCCCCCTCCTCCGGCCGCTGCTGGACCACGGGATCATCAATCATCCAGGCGCGAGTGGCCTCTCCTAGCGCGAAGAAACAGGGAGAGGGGGTTCTGTTGGCTCTCGGAGGGACTTTTCGGTGGCCCTCGGGGGCTCTCTCGCCCGGGGATGCTTTGCCACAGCTGCGCCTGGTCGAGAGTTTTCCAGGGGAGGACCCAAATCGTCCCGAGCGGCCGCCGGAGGTCCGAGTTATGACCCGCCAGGCGGGGAAGGGGGAGGAGGGGCGATTCCTGCCGCCCTCTCCCCCAGCCGTCCCCTCCCCCCGCGGGGCGGTCGTCTCCAGGTGGGGCCTCGCTTCTACCGTCCAGGCCCCGCTGTCTTCTCAGTGCGACGATGGCTTCACGCAGCTGATCGACGTATTTCATGCGGTGATCTTCATGATGACGATGACGATGACGATGATGATGACGACGATGTCGACGACGACGACGACGACGACGATGACGATGACGATGACGACGACGATGACGATGACGACGATGACGATGACACTGGCGACGATGACGATGACGATGACGACGATGCCATCATTGTGATCTTGTGCATCGTTCGTGGCCTTGGAAGCCTTGAGGCCTCCCTCTCCCCCTCTTCGCTCGCCCACGCCGCCGTGCTGGCGCTCGGGGGGTCGGGCTGCTGTTGGTGGGGCGTGCCCCGGGCTGGCGGGGCTGCTGAGCGGCGCGTGCCCGGAACTCGGCGACGGTCCAATGGGGAGGCATGAATATGGGAGGGGGCTATGCCGACTGTGACCATCATAGCTGTCTGGATCTCATTGCCGCACCCCTGCTTCCTTCAACGCGTCCCCTGGCCCTCCCTGGGCCGCGCACGTGCCTCGGGGCCATGATCTGCGAGCCCCCACTATTGACGCCCCCCTTATCAGACGCCCCCGAAGAGTGTCGCTGGACGTGGTGGCTTGTTAAGCTCCGCGGCGAGCTCAGGTGGAGCGATACAACTGTTCCTATGGTGGGCCAACTGCAGCGACGGTTGAGGGCCCCCTCATGGTGGACAGCTCGGGGCCAGTGTGCAACATGAGCTCCGTCATTGTCAGACCCCGCCTGCTCACTGAGGTCATTGGTGGTCCCATTCACGTCTGACACCTCTCGTCTTCGCTTCGTGACGTGCTCTCATGGGGACACGTCGGACCGCCTTGGGGCTGTTCTGGGCTCATATGTGGCTGTCTTGGGGTCCATTGGGGCCTTCTTGGGCTGTTTTGTTGGGGCTCTCCTGGATCGTCTGAGGGCCCTATGTTGCAGTCTTGGAGCTCTCTTGGTCGTCTGTGGAGTCTCTTGAGGCCGTCGTGGGGCCGTCTTGGGGCCTTCTTGGGCAGTCTGCCTTTGAGGCCGTCTCGGGTCCTTCCAGAGGAGCTTTTGGGTCAACCCGGGGTTCTCTTCTGGTTCTCCTGGGCCGACTGGACCCCCCCGTAAAATCATTCGAGGGGTACCCCTCCTCCCCCAGTAACGACAAACTACGACGACGACGGACGAGGGACGACGACGGACGACGGACGACGGACGACGGACGACGGACGACGTCGACGACGGCGAAGGCGACGGCGACGGCGACGGCGACGGCGACGGCGACGGCGACGGCGACGGCGACGGACGACGGCGACGACCACGATCACGCCGACGACGACGACGACGACGACGACGACGACGACGACGACGACGGACCATGGACGGTGGACGACGGACGACGACGACGACGACAACGAAGACGATGACGACGACGACGGCGGCGGCAACGGCGACGACCACGGACGACGACGACTACGACGACGGACGACGACGACGACGACGACGACGACGAACGACGGATGGCGGACGACGACGGACGACGCACCTCGCACGGCGACGACGACGCCGGCGAAGACAACGAAGACGATCAAGACGATCAAGACGACCAAGACGACCAAGACGACCAAGACGACGACGGCGACCACGGCGACGGCGATGGCGATGGCGACGGCGACGGACACGGACACGGACACGGCGACGGCGACGGCGACGACGGAGGCGGCGGCGGCGGCTGCGGTGGCGGCGTTGACGGCGTCAGACGACGACGTCGACACCGAATACGACGACGACGACAACGAAGACGATCAAGACGACCAAGACGATCAAGACGACGACCACGACGACGGACGACGACGACGACGAAGATAACGACGACGACGAACGACGGATGGTGGACGACGACGCACGACGCACGACGCACGACAATGCCGACGCCGACGCCGGCACCAAAAACGACGACGACGAAGACAACGAAGACAGCGAAGACGAAGACGACGACGACGTCGACGACGACGACGCCGAATATGCCGACGACGACGCTGCCAACGACGACGACAACTACGACGACACCGACGTCGACGTCGACGATCGAGCTCGAGTGGGATGCGATTAATGCTGGATCGAGCCCGAGTAGGATTGCACTGAAGCTGGTTCGGGCCTTCATAGAGTCTTGTTGGAGCTGGATCCAAGACAGGTCGGTTCTATTTAGACGGGTTTCTGAGAAGACATCGTCACCTGGGGCAGAGATCCCACCTGCACCGCCGCCACCACCCCCGCCACCTTCACAGCTCTTGCCGTGTCCCCCTCGCCCTCCTCAACCTCGCCTTTATTTTCGCCCTGGCCCATCTCTACATAATCCTCGCTCTCGCCCTCACGTCAGCGTATGCCCGACACCGCTCGCCTGCTCGCCCATTTCCCCCGCGACCTGCCGGCGACATGCCGACGACGATGCTCCGCGCCCCGCCCTGGGCCCCGCCCCTTCGAACCCGCGCTGCTCGGGGGCCGCCAGCAGCGAGCGCGCACGGGGCGGCCGTCCGAGCGGGCGGCGGGGTGACGGGCCTCCCGCTGTACGATCTGCGAGGCTGACGCCGCGTGCGCTGGCCCACTCGGCGATCTCAAGGCACTGGCCGGCCCTCGGAGCAGATCGGCGCCCCGTCGTTCAGTGTCGTTTCACCGATCCCCTATCCCGATCCCCATCCCGACCCCCACCATCCCACCACCCCAGTTGGGGATATGCCCGTCGAAACTCGAAGGGAACAGCCTGTGTGCCCATCTAGGGGGGTCAATCTGCCAGTGGGGCCCAGGCCACGCCCGTGCTGATAAGGGGTCGGTGGCACGAGGCTCAGACCCGCGCCGCGACCCGCCGAACGCCTGCTCGCGACCTGCCGGTGGCCCGCCTGCCTTCCTTTAGAGGAGAGCGAGTCGAGACAACGATCCGAGGACTGTGAGCAGTTTCGTTGGCTCTTGCCCGTTCCCCAGCCTGAGGAAGCCTCCCAGCGGCTGCGCCTCGCCGAGAGCGTTCTGGGGGTGCTTGGGTCGTCCTGAACGGCCGCTGGAGAGTCGAGTTATGGCCCGAAAGCCACAGCGCAACGACAGGGGGCAGTTGAGACAGCGGTGCAGTCGGCCCAGATTAGTAGGTCGACCCTGCCAAATCAAGGGTACCCTTGTGTCCTGTGCCTCGCGACCCATGCCTCCTACATTTCTGTGGCAATGTGGCCCTCCGAAGGGTCTGGTGTCCTCTTGCGTGTCCTGTCCAATCGAGTCAGACTGTAGTTGGCCCTCGGGTGGCCCACTCGTCGCCACGGCTGGGCGCGGCTTGGGAACCTGCTGCGTCTTGAACCCCGGGAGGAGTCCTGGGGCCGCTGTTGAGCTGCCGTTGCCTCCACTCGCCGTGCCCCGGGTCCTTGGGCAGCAACTTACGGGAGTCCTGTTGTATGTCCTCGGAAGTACGTCTTGCGAGTGAATTGGCGTGCGCTAGCGTCTGGTAGGCGATGAGAACGCGCCGATGTTGCGTCGACTGGCGTCGACTTGGCGTCGATGAGCGTGGCGAGGGTCGGGGACCGACTTGGAGCTGCCGTCGCCTCAACTCGCCCTGCTCCGAGTTCCGCGCCTGCCACGGCCCGCCCTGGCCTTGGCATCGCTCGGACGTGTGCATCTTTCCCTCGGCGAGGACAATCGAGGAGCATCCTTGATCATTTGGCGACATCACGCACGAAACTGACAAAGAAAAAACAGGGAATGGACGTCCGAGCGATGGCGAGTGGCGCCGTCGGGGCCGCCTGCGATCTGCGCCCCCCCGCTCGTGTTCCGCAGCTGGCGGGGCCTGCGCCGTAAGAGCTCCACACCCGTGTGTGTGTGTGTGTGTGTTTGTGTGTGTGTGCGCTCGCGTGCAGGTTGGTCATCTGCTCCTGCTGCTATTGCTGCTCCGATGGTTTTCGGTCGCAGATCATGGGAGCATTGCGTGTCCTCGTCTTTAGAGTGCACCAGTGTACGCTAGCGTCTGTTGGTCGAAGAGATCGCGCCGATTCAGCGTCGACTGGCGTCGATGCAGCGCGTCGATTAGCCTCGATCTCGCAAGGGCCACCAAGATGGCACGGGATGCTCCCGCGAGTTGACACGTGATACGGTTCATCCCCCCCTTCGTCCTCATGATATCGGGCAGTTTTGTCGATGGCCACGGCAATTTTCACACCATTAGTTGTGGGTTGTGTTTTTGTTTCTGAGTCGGGTTTCAGGTTGACTTTGTTTCTTTGTGGGGACTACGGTGCAGCTTCCCAGTACGGCCCTGGTCCCGAAACATCCGAAGGGTCACGCCGAGTGTCTAGAATATACTTCTTTTGGAGTGGTCACAAGCGGGAACGTGACCACGCCGCGCTTGCTGTGGGACGATCTCCGATCGAGTTCGCGGAAAGAAGAGACTGTGTTTGTTGTTGCTTGTCTGCCGTTTTCATTATTTCGTGTTTACTTTAGCATGTTGTGTTCAGGTTATGTGTTTATGTTGTGGTTTCTCTCTCTCGCTCTCTCTTTCTCTCGTGTTTTGCCTCTCTCTCTCTCTTTCTCTCTCTCTCTCTCTCTCTCTTCTTCACTCGTTATCTCTCTCTCTCTCTCTCTCTCTCCCTCTCTCTATTTCAATCGTTTTTTTGTGCTTCTCTTCCTCTCTCTTTCTCTCTCTCTCTCTCTCTCTCTCTCTCCCTCTCTGGCTTTTTCCTTACGCTTCGCCGCGAGAGCGCGCCGAGGTCGACCCCGTGACTGGGCAAGAGACCCACCACGAGATCTTCCCGGAGCCCCTGGGGCCTCAGGGAAGGGGGGGGCGGAGGGGATTCGGGGGCAACGCCAGGGGGGGTCGAGAAGCGTTTCGGATTGGAGGCTTTCGGACGCTTTCGTCGGTAGCATCTGTTTTCCAGCCTCGGGATGCCTTCCCGCGGCTGCGCCTCGCCGAGGGCGTTCCAAACGACCGCTGGAGTTCCGAGCTATAATTTGCCTGAAAGCCAGGGTCAAGGTGGGATAGGCTCACAGGGGGATGCGTCGACCATCAGAGACAGGGGCCTGATAGCCCACCCCGTCCAGGAACGTGCGGATTTGCTATCGAGGGCCTCTCGCCGATCGATCGGCGATGTGTCGCCGATTCCAGCTCGATGTCCCCCCCCCCCCCAGCCAGCCCCATCCCTTGTCGTTACCCCTCGGGGACAGGGGTGGGGGGACGGCAAGGCAGGGCAGGGGGACGGGGGGAGGGTGGGAGAGAGAGAGAGGCACGAGGCGACGGACCGCCTCCTACAGTCAACCTGCACAGAAAGAATGAGCGACTTCCCAAGGGTACCCTTGCTCCTCCTCCTCCTCCTCCTCCTCGCTCCTCGCTCCTCGCTCCTCGCCTCCTCCTCCTCGCTAACCTTGCCTCGTCGGTCATCTTCGGCCAATCCTCAACCGCTTCCAAGGCCAGCCCCGCTCGAAGAGCCTCGGCATGGTCGTCCGAGGCCCTCGCATCCTCACCGCGCATCCTTACTGTGCGGGCTGACTAGATCTGAGAACGCTCAGCCCGCTTGTTGGCAGCGTGCGCCCACGGTGGCTGCGCTGGGGGCGAGTCGGCATTGGCCGTCGCTTTCCGCAGAGTCACAGAGCCACCGAGGGGCGGACCGCGAGAGATGGGAAGAGTGGCGGATCGCGCGTGAGAGGGAGGAGAGAGAGAGAGAGAGAGAAAGAAAGAAATATATATATATATATAGAGAGAGAGAGAGAAAAACAAAAAAGAGAAAGAGAGCCGGAGAGTCCCACCACGCGCGTGTTGCAGCCATGCAGGGCGCGGGTGTTTACGTACGCTTGGTGTAATGTCACAGCCTTGGCGTTTGATGGCGCGCTGTTACATCTGCGCGATCCTTCTTGTCAAGTCTCCCAGTGACACGCGCATCAATACATCCTGGTCTGTGGCCACACGATTGATCTGAGAACGATGAACCAGCGCTGCGCTCTCCAGGATGGGTCCAAGTATGCGAGGTAGGAGTGCAACAATGGGAGGAAGGGTGAGGGAGGCGGGAGGGCAGGGCAAGGGAGAGGATGTTGCCGAAGGGGAACAGGCGACACATACCTGCCCTGCTTTCTTGGATCTGTGGTGGAGTCCCTTGCGGCGCCTCCAGCGCCGATCCAAGACATCCGCGTGGACCTTCGACAACTGATACACTCATGCCCTTCATTTTCGTTGTTCCTCCACAGTTGTATGGTTTGCCCTACCGACCTGACCTGCCCTTTCGGGTTCGCCCGCCCGCTCGACGGGTCAGGCGATAGGGCTTAGGCTTGCAGATGAGGGTCGTTGGAGCAAGCTTAGGGTGCTTCCACCTTGCTCCTCCCGCTCCCTTCTCATTCCCCACACCCCATCATGCCCTCCGTCGACTGTCCCCCTCGCGGGGACGGGTCGACGGGTCCAGCCCCGACCTGCCTGAGTCTCCCTCCCCCCGCTTGCCCGCCGTTCGCAGAAGCCCTCCAGCACCCCATCAAGGCGCCTGCACATTATGCTCCTCCCTCCTCCCGGTTGCGCTTCCCTCGCTCCTCGCTCCTCCATCGCACCAGCTTCCTCATCTGCATCCCTCCAGCTCCTGCCCCCCTTTTTTCAAGGGAGGAAAAAACACCCGGACCGGACAATTGGCGTTTACTAAACGGCCCTGGGCGTTGAAAGTCTTGCCCTGTTTGATTCCTTCTTTTGGCGCGTTTACCAAACGGCCTCGCGTGTCGGGGTGGTTATTATCGGGGTGGATGTCCTGCCCTTTATTTTTCCTTTCCTGCTCTCTCCTCCGCCCGCTCCTCTCCTTACCCTTGTCCTTCCTCGCCCTCCTCCCTCATCCCCCTCGCCCCGCATTCGCTCCCCTCCCTCCCTCCTCGCCCGCATTCCGCCGCCCTTCAGGGTGCCTACAGATCCCTACACGCGGCGGCAGCCGCAGGCCGCCCCGTGAGCGCCGCCGCCGCCAGCGTGGCATGTCTGTGCCGCGCGGCAGAGCGCTGCGCCTGTCTCCCAGATCTTCACAGGAGGAAAAGGTATCGATTTCACTGCACTTCCTTGTTTTCGCTTTTGTTGTGTCTCTTAGGAGGCCTGCGTCGCCAGCGCTGGCTTCGCGTCGAAATGTTGGTCACAACGCAGCCTGGGGCAGGTCTGGGGAGTGGCCGTAACTGTCGGTACCTTCTGGTGCGCGTTCACAGCGTCAGCCGGCGTGGGCGCCGCTTTCTGGTGTGGCCGAGTCGGCCGATGAGAAGGAGGGGAGGAGAGGGTCGGGGGGGGGAGCACGAGGGCGAGGAGGTGGAAGGAGGAGGAGGAGGAGGATGAAGAGAAGCGCAAAATAATTGCGATGGGCAGGTAGCGCTTGCAAGCGCCTCGCTCTGTCTGCAGGGGCTCCGCTTCAAGTGCGGGAGGGTTGAGCATCCGTTGCCACCGCAGTTTGACCTGGCAGTGAGTTCAAGGCTTTCAGCGTGCCAGATTTTCTGTGGAACACCGTGTGCACAGCGATGTGTTGCCAGCATGCCCTCGAGCATGGTAAGATAGTGATGCTGTTGCCGAGCCTTGACGGTAATGATTTCGAAGCTTGTGATGGTAATGATGATGCGAAGTTGTTCTCATTGTTGCGGTTTCAGTTGAATCTGATTTCGTTGTGCATTCTAGCCCCACGTCGCCTTCGTGTGGTTTACCTCCTTCAGCCACACAGAATAAGCTCCTTGGGTCTCATATCATGCCTTTGTGCGATCCACCCCTCGCCGTGCAGGCAGCGTGGCAGAGATCTCGAGGTTGCTCAGCAGCGGGGCATCTGCGAACCGAGCGACGGTGGGCTACGAAGAGGAGCAGCAGCATGCGTAGCAGGAGGCGGAAAAGGAGGCCATGGGGAGGGAGGAGATTTTGGCTGTATTTGTATAGGTTTCCTCGGGAGGGAGGAGAGGGGGGAGGGAGGGAGAGATGGAGGAAAGGAGGATCGTGTGCGGGGGGAGCAGGAGGGGATGTAGAAGGGGGAGGGAGGAGGGGGGCAGGAGGAGGAGGAGGAGGACGAGGAGAGGGAGGATCGGGGGTCGGTGTGCACAGACTTGGGCCGCCTCATGTTTTGGTCCGGGGTTGAAGAGGAGGAGAAAGAAGAGGGAGGGAGAGAGATTCTTAGATAGGTGATGGAGATGCGAAGGGAGAGGATTCTGCCCTCGGGACAGCTTGTGCGGGCCGACGACCCCCATCCGGCCAGATCGGGAATCGAAGGGCCTCCCGTGCTGGAGCGGAGGCAACGAGCGGGCGCCGCTCCTTTCCTTGCACCCCCTCCCACTCCCGATTCTTGTTGTCTGCAAGGGCGTCGGGGTCGAGGGGAGCCAGGGACACCACAGACAGCGGCGAAGGGCTACAGGTCTCAGCATCCGCAGAGAAGTCGAGGGGTCCTGGGGTCATTCCACTCGGAGTCTCTAGGGAGGTGCCGGATCTGCTTCACGTCTTGTGTCAGATGCAGTGGATGGCGTCGGACGCAAGAGAGGGTTTTGAACCCTCTGTCCTGGTCCCTGACAGGGGGCAGGGCAATCGGCGGGAGCAGATACCGAGAAGCATGATCATACGAAATCGCAAATTATAGTGAAATGGTTGGAGATAGCGGGCTGCCAGTCTTAGGTTTCAGGCAAGTTGAGGAAGGGAGGGAGGCACGCAGGCAGACGGAGGTACCCCTTCATCCTTCCCTGTATCTGTTTCCTACCCTCCCTTGTCCCGTCCCCCATCTTCTCCATACTTCAGGTGCCTGGTCCCGAAGTAGTCGAGGTGCAGAGTAGGTGCGATTGGGCACGAAGCGGTACCTGAAGACTTTGCGCAAGTCTGGTCGATTTGCAGATGGTCTGGTGCGGATGGGCAGCGCAAACACAATCGGAATTGGCCGGATTGTTCTTTGTTAGTTGCGTCGACGGGCTCCACGGAAATTGGCGAGTTGGAGTCTTTGGGTGTGGTCAGGGTTGACGTTCTTCTGCGGGCAGTTTTTTTCATTGGCCGTTGTGCTGGTAGCCACATCTTCTCGTTTTCCTTGTCTTGTCTGCTGCCCGTCTCAAATGGTAATCTCTCCGTGGGCAAGGTGGGTGGCGTGACGCCGCTGCACATGGCCGCTCACAGTGGACACTCGGAGGACCAGCCTGGGGCGGCTTGACCAACATGTCCTTACTGACTTTTCGAGCGAGACATTCAAAGGTGAGCATTGAGGATGGTGGCGAGGAGGAGGCGGAGGAACGGGGAGGCGAAGGATGCAGAACAGGTTGGATGCGGAGAAGAAAAGGCGGGGATATGATAATGATGAGGAGGATGAGGAGGAGGTGGAGGAGGAGGCGGAGGAGTGGAGGAATGGGAAGGAGGGAGGGAGTGAGGAAGGGAGGGAGGAGGCGGAGGAGGAGGCGGAGGAGGAGGCGGATGATGATGAGGAGGAGGAGGAGGAGGAGGAGGCGGGCGCCATCGTGAGCCCGCTTGGTCGTGTTACTGTCGTGAGGGAGCTGCCACGCGCATATGCCACCGCGTGGCCGTCTGTGCTCTTCTCTACGCTTACAATGGCTCTTTTGCTGTTTCACACCATGCCAGTGTTCAAACACGGGAAAACTTCATAGACAGAATTTGTCGGAGGTCTGCGCGGATTTCTTCGATCGGCGTTGGACCCCTTCGGCGGCGCCCCCAGCGCTTCCCCTGGCGCGCTCCGCGTGCCAGGCATGGTGTGTCCAGCGCCGATCCAAGAAATCCGCGCTGACCTCCGAACCCTTCAGTTCATCCAGTTGTTTCTTCTCATAATGGGTGCTCTTTGTTCACCCTTCATCAGTCGAAACATATATGACTCCCGTTGAGTGGCCAATGTGCCGCCTGGCGCGCGGTGATGTTCGTTTATTCGTTCGTGTGGCTACTTGGGTCCGCTTTCTTCTGCGGGGAGGTCGCTGGACGCGTGATCTTACTTTG